TAAACGGTTAAAAGTGTTATATTTAAATATTATCGATTGTTTAGCATAGAATCACTTTCGTAAATGTTCTGTTAGAGTGCTGCTTATAGACAATGACTTTTGTGAAACCCAATTTCAACGAGGAAACACATTGGTTAACCGAATATAACAGTTTTATTGGAATATAAAATGCAATTGCAAGGCGCCTAAGAGTAAACGTTAGCTGTGCATTGTCTCCCTGCAAAGGTCTTATCTCCCGTGTTCTCGCATAGAAATTTACACGTGCAAGTATCGGCATCATAAACTCGCCAGACTTTATCTGCCGCCGGCCCAAACTCAACGCCGCTCGTACGTGGGCGCACTTTTTATAACCTTTTCATTCCATTGTCACTCGGAATCCGGGAAAGATAAATTTTTAACTCTTATCTAAATGTCAAATCGTTCGTTCCCGATCGCATCGGTGCCCAAATAGTTTTAATAAATCTCCCTTTACGGCGGCGATATCTAAAATAGAATACAGAATCACGCTGCGAGCTATCGTGTTTTATTCCGTCGGGCCCGGTGCGTTTGCTCCAACAATGGATTTAATTGAAAGAGTGTCAATAAATTTGTCGCGGGATGACCTGGTGCGACGCTGGTGGTCCGATAAACTTGATAGTCTGTGGTGTATCCCGAAGGATACCTCGAAATTACGAGCGTTTGTTTTATCTGAAGCGGTCTTGTCTTCAATGTAATAAATCTTTTACGGAGGCTGTTTATCAAATAATCGATTTGTTATCTCGTTTAACTTTTGGATCTACCCTCAAAATTCTGTTAGATGTACCGTTATACATTAAGCTGCCTCTGATTTTTTAACTTTGCGCCATTATAGATATTTAGGAGAATTGTATGATCAAGGTTAAATGGTTAAACATGATGCCGAGAGCGAGATGTCTTGTGTTTGAATCACGGGAAACACATATTAGTTCGGTCAGGTGTGGTACAAAAGTCTGAACGGACGTAGAGAAGTGTTTTCCCTGTACCCATAGCAACTTGCAATAATGTATTAATTGTATTAGTATATTCTAAGTTTCTTACACAGCTGTAAATGGGTTTTTAACTACGACCCGACGTTAAACTTAACCGTAAAATGCGTTCTATTCACGCGTAAATTACGGAAAAATATTCTTAATTTACGTATTAAAAATGTGTGAAATACTAAAAAGTCCTTCCTCGCACTGTACTTATCTCTTCTGCTCCATTAATTTTAATATCGGTACTAATGACCCGCGGTTACTTTGAAGCGATCGATCATAACATTATAATACTTTGATGGCGCATTTTGTGGCATTGTAAATTCGTAGTTCTTTCCCACGGCGACTCCGCCCACGCGTGGTTCCACGAATACATTTCGTCTTGTAGGCTCCGCGTCCATAATAATTCAGGTGTTACAATAATGTGGGAAGCAGTTTGGATGTGGCTTTCCAGTTTTCACTGTTTGGTCGGGTTTAGTGCACTCGATTGCAGAGAGTGAGGTCCCGGGTTTGAATTCGGGGCTCATAAAATGTTTATTCGATATGTGCGATTAGAGCTTGGAAATAGACGGAATCCCCTCGTTACTCACAAGTTAAGCTATCGGTCTCAATTGTCGCCACAAATTTAGTGATAGTCGTTAAAATCCGTTAAGGATTAAGGCCCAAGCGGTCGAAGACGATCTGGTATGCAAGATATCTGAATTAACTTTTTTGGTTATAGACACGTAGAAATTATAAATTAAATTTTTATCGTTACTTTCCTTAAAATAACTTCGTAACGCTAGTAATTTATTTTACAAGTGAAATCCCCCGTGGGGCATGGGGCGCATTTCTGTGCCCGTTTTACTAATCGATTTTATTTACAAGACAAACTTTTTGTTTCCACGGGATTCAAACCCAGGGCCTCCAGCGCTTAACGTTATCTCAGGCAACGCCTTCAACCATTTAGCTACAGGTGGTCTTTATATTGTAAAGTGTGAGAGTTTTTAAAAGTAAGGTTTTAAGAGGGTTGTTTTAAGCTTATATCTTTTCACTTTAGAATAATCTCTGGCAACTAAGAAATCTATTAGCTCAGTACAAACATACCAACCAAATAAGCAGAGTGAGAAAAATTTATGACCCTTAGTCAAATATTAGCCTTAGTAGGAGTTAAGTTGCGTTTATACCTCATTTATTCAAACAGAGTTCTTAAAAACGCAAACACAACGACAGACTGTAATTGTCACATCCATAAAAGGATTTACTGCCTTCTTGGACCGAACAATTCACACCCGATCATCTCTGTGATAAAACGCCGACCGTGTATCACCGTGAAATCCGTGAAACAAAAAGTCGGCCAAGTGTGTGTCGGGCTCGAACATGAAGGGTGCCGTACAATCAGGTACTTAAAAACACCTTTAAGGATTAAAACTGGATATAAATTAGTTAAACAAATTATAATTTATATAAAACACTTTAACGGTTTAAAACGCGATATATTTTATCTAAACTTGTTTGAAAATTATTTTTAACCGCGGCTCGATGTTTCGGATGCTTTGCAGCAGCCGTGGTCACGGGGAGACAGTATTAAATTATAATTTATTTGAACTATACCCCGACGTTTCGAATGCTTTGCAGTAGTGATTACGTCGGGCCGTAGTTAAGATAAATTTTGAATAGGTTAACTAATATAATTCGCGTTTTAAACCGTTAAAAGTGTTTTATTTATAAATGTAATACTCACAGAAACAGGTACACAATTTTCATAAAACCTTTATATAGTTTCATGTTTCCTGTTACCATTTCAATATCAAGCAAAAGGTACAAAAAATACATTTAACTATAATGCGAGACTCTCTGTGTTTTATTATCGTCTGTAGTTTACGTACACGTTGAAATATCGCATTTTTAACTTTAACCTAATATATTCCGATGTGAAACACTTTCCATTAATATATTACCCGTTTTAAACCGTTAAAAGTGTTTCAATTTAGTATATGTTATTGTAGCTGCTATGGAAATCGAAACTTTGTAATTTTACTATATAGATAATTATGGCGGTTATTACAAACCTGGTAACAGACAGACGGCGAGGTTTTTAGAATTTATTAGTTTATAGAATTTACCTTTGGTTACGGAACCCTAAAAAGCCAGATATAGACGCCTGATGCCTGCACTTAGAGTGATGAAAATTTAATTTGTGTACGTCTCCATCGATGTTAATTGAGATAACAAGCAAATCAATCTCGACGATTGTTGTAGTTTATTGACTTTCGAAGTTTTGTTTGAGAGATAATTAATATTGCCGCCATACAACCTTTTCGATATCCTTTATATATCTTTAGACAAAGGTCCCATCACTATTTTTTATGATAGAGGAGACAAGAGACAAGAGTTTACTTGATGGTAGATGAAATACCCCAGCCATATAATATCTACAAAATAGATATTTGAAAACTTTAATATTTTTCACACGTTATTGCACATGAAGCAATATATAATAATTTAAAAATAGAAAATAAATTGAAAAATTTTTCGACTCGGGCAGGACTTGAACCGGCATCGTCAGCACAGAGTCGGTACCGGTGACTCGGTCGATGTTTTAAAATTAAAAAAAGGTTATCTCCAAAATACAGACTAAAAGTCGTGAAGTTTAATCACGTTTCAGTTTCAATCTGTGGTTTTCCACAAAGTCATAATAGGGCCACAGCACTTCATCTTAAAAATTTTATTGTCTTCTATTAAAAACTAATAGAATGTACAGGTTTTTATATTTTGGGTAACCATTCGGTAATCCACAGACTGAAACTCTAACGCAAATTAACACTTTGCGGCGATTCCAGCTGCGGTACAACAATGAATTTAGAAACAAATTCGACCCGTTGAGGAACCGCGATTTCTTACTTAGCTACTAGCTATTTATTGCATTTATAGGAGACCACAACCTTACAGTGAAATTGTACATACATGTTAATTTTGACGCTACAATATGGGGTGGATTTATGTGATTTTTGCATATGACAGATAGTAAAGCTGCAATTTTCGAGTGTAATTAGTAAATATTCACGCGCGATAATTATACCATTAACAAAATTAAATAAAAAAATTAAATAAAAATCACATCACGAAACGATGTATCCACATCGTTACGTGATTCAAATCGATTTTTTTAAATCTAAATAGATTATATTCAATATATAAGATATTTTCAATATGACCCGACATATTATGTGCTTGTCAACGGATCTAAATTAACTCAAAGCTCAACTTTTTAAAATGATAAGTAAAAGTAAATAATAGGGAATATAAATATGTTACATCTCTTTTATATATTTTATAATATCTCATTAAAAAGTCAAATACGGATTCACTTCAAATATTTCAGAATATTGTTTATCTACCGTCACACAATTATAGTCCTAGAACGGGGATAGAGAAGACATAGTTATTATTTGCATATTTTGTGTATATTGTTAAACAAAAAATTTTAACGGTTTAAAACGGGATATATTTTAACTTGTATAGTCACGGAGAGACACGGCTGCTGCAAAGCGTCCGAAAAGAAGGGACGTAGTTAAAAATAATTTATACAAGTTTACCTAAAATATATCGCGTTTTAAACCGTTAAAGTGTTTTATTTAAATGCGTACTACTCGCATTAACTACCGACAGTATTTGTATATAATTTTTAATAAGTGTATTATATAGATGTTATGTAATTGCAAAGAATATTGTACATGAATACTGTAATACTGAATTAAATAAATATAACGCTTATTTAAGATGTAAGATTCAGTTTACAACTGCGTTCTTGGTTCAGTGGTTAGCTCACACAACTGCAAATCCCTAAGATCTCGAGTTCGAATTCTGTGTTTGACAAAACGTTACTTCGATTCGACTTTCTTAGTAAAGAAATAACCCTATTTATTGGCCAATTAAGGGGTTGCAAAATTTAAAGCCCGCATTGGACCTCTGCCCAGCGGTGGGAATCGAACGATATAAAATAAAATTATATTTATATCTTCAATTTTATAAAATTGTCGACGTCCTACCTTTGATCACAGATCTTACTCGCCGCACCCTCTCCAGAGTCAGGGGGACAGGATCCACTAACAGTTGGAACGGCGAAGATAGTCGCTCTCCAAATAATATCGCTGCCCATCCGTGCGAGGAGCACAACCCCCCGAGCGGGTTGCCCCCCTTCGCAATCACGTACGCCCGGCTCGAATTACTTGTCCCCGTTTCGAAATTTAACAAATCACTAAGAACACTTATATCACCTTTTAAAACTCTCCGTACTAGCACTCTGAAAACACTACGTTTCTCGCGCTTTCTTGTGCGCACGCGCGTAATTTTTCCCGTAAATATAAAACGGGACGAATACACAATCCGCTTTAGAGAATCACCTTTATCCAGCACGGAGCCGTTGTAGCACTTCGACGAAAAACTATTTTCCAATTTTATTATTGTATTTCTCTTTTTAACGCTGCCTTTTATTTGAAATTGAGATTGCGCTGGAAGGATTACTAATATAGCTACGCAGAGCGCTAACAGATAAAGATTTGTCATTTTGGTTCATACAAATCTGTATATCGAATATTAATACACATTATTATTAAGTATTATATTTCGCGCTTCGTACTGCGCACGCGCAGTGATCCGTGGCACCCGGCGCGCGCGTCGCCGTTTCAATCGTAACTGAAAGCTTTATCTGTGTCGCTGCAACTTGTAGCCTGTTTTTGTTATGCTAATGAAGCCTCTTCATAACACATCGCAAACATGATAAGAACAACGAGTAATATTCCTTAACTGTGCTTTATGTTTGAAAAGTAAAGCTTTACGATTTAAGATTTTTATAGGCTCGTCGGAACATTAAAAGCAAAATTATTATATAACTGGCTATGAGTTCGATTCTCACTCGGGCGAAAAGGTTCTAAAATCGATTTATATATTTTTTTAATAATGTTTTGTAAAATTATAGAATATAGACGATTGGAAAATTTGTTTAATAAATGGACGGTAAGAATATTTAAATTTCGTTCTTTGGTTTGGATTTAATTATTTGAATTTAAATTTGGAATGTGAAACAACCGTGTTTAAACATTTGTGTATTAAATGTCCAAGGTCAACATAGAGTGATAATGCATCTTAGTTAGATGTTATTTTGAATTATCCCACCTTATATTAATTCACTTGATGAAAGGGCGTTCACCCCATGCATGTCTTTTATCCTTTATCATTATACTAACTGACCTGGCAAACGTTTTTTTACCATATGAAATATTATTTAAAAGAGAGTAATTATTTTCTACATACTTATAACGTAATAATTTTCCCCGTTTTCTCCATATTTCCCTCTTTTTCTTCGTTCCTTTTGATCGTAGCTTGAAAATTTGTAGACTAAAGCATTCCTCGGTTAATGATCTAACTGATACAAAATATCAGTAGTAAAACAAACTCCTCAGCTTTATAACAGTATAGAAAACAAGAAAATTATAGTAAAGACGCAATTAAGGAATTATCGCGGTCGCTGCAAGGTGTCTGTGTAAACGTGTGTCATAATTCTTAAGCCGTGTTCAGGCTTTAAAAAGCGAAGACTAAACACCAAGTCATGCATTGTTCGCCAAATTGCTCACACATTGGCTCTTCTGACGTCAAGCCTATTAAACTTTTGTAAACACTGTAAAACAATAAGTGCCTACGAGTTCTCGTTTTCACTCCAACGGTAACTAAATAATACTTTCGCCGCGGTATTAAGTTTTCTCACTAGTAATAATGTATGGCTAATAGACAACGGGTCGTGGGTTTAATATCGAACGGGCTTAACATTGTAAAAACAATAAATGGCTTAAAGTTATAGATGGAAAGGTGAAATACCCTTATTTTTTTTTCTGTTTCATTCACTTACTGGTCCAATATGGTTCTAAAATCAATGTATATTTATTCAGTTACTTGTTAGACTGCCTTGATGGTAGAAATCTCGAAAAATTGTGATATCTCCTTGTCTGTCCTTTAAAAATTAAAACCAAATGAATATAGGTCTTACAATTTTCTTACAATATATATAAATACTTTTTACAATTTATTCTTATAGGAGGAGACGTCAAGACACTTTTTTAAGGCCAAGAATACATTAACACTTCAAGCCGGGTCAATAGACTTCTTTAAGGAAGGGGATTAGATTCTAATATAGATATACGCTCAAACAAACTTCCCTTACAACCTATTTACAATCGTTATCGGGTTTATCAGGAATTATAGAACTAGCTGGAAACGCTCCGATAATTTAGACCATTTTCCGAGAAGAGCGCTTTCTTTGGAGATATTTAAGTGAATTGTTTGTCTAAGTAGGATGTAATATAAAGTTTGAAATTGGGCTTTGTGATTTTATTCGGTTATTAAATTAATATGGCATAAAATAATTCTTAATTAATAATCTATACTAAAAAAAAAGCTAAGTTTGTTTGTTTGAACGCGCTAATCTCAGAAACTACTGGTTAGAATTTAAAAAATATTTTTGTGCTGAGGAAGGCTATAAAACAAAGCGCTCTGACTAATAGGAGCGGATGAATCCTTGTAGGTCTATCTATCTTTTAAGATAACATGCAAGAACGACTGGACGCGGACTATGTCGTGGATAACAGCTCAAATTTATTTATAACAAAAAATTTATATCCAAAATAATTCTTCTACGCGTAAGAATTCGCGTGACTAAGCTATTATCTATATAAAATAAATATTCTTTATTAATATACCAAAAATTATAAATACGAACTTAAAAGCACTCATCTTTTACACCCATATAAATCGTATACTCACTTCGAATTATAATTTGTATATGTACTAAATGACTTGGCAATACCTAAAAAGAAAAAATATATTATTTCGTGCCAACAATAAATATGAAGTAATCTGTAGCTTAAATAAAAAAACTTTCAACGTCTTAAAGCTCGAAATATATTAAGTGATCATCATCACTACCACTAGGATTGCTACAAAACATAGAACACGTAGAGCCGTAGTCAAAATAAATTACATTATAACAATTACAATACCGTTTGTAGTTTACGCGAGTAGTACACATTTAAATGTATTGTTTTTTCTCTTAATGCATGCTTGGACAAGATGGTAGGTTGCTAGTTATCTTGTTTATTTATTAAATAAACTTAGCTAATTAGATGTTATGTAAACTCACGATGGCATCAGTTAAACCTTAGTGTAAATAAAACACTTAAAACGCGATATATTAGTTAAACTTAAGTTTAACTAATATATCGCGTTTTAAACCGTTAAAGTGTAAAGTGTTTTATTTAAATGTGTACTACTCGCGTAAACTATAGACAGTAATTAAACCTTAGTGGTTTTTATTGCTATCAATATATAAATAAATGTATTTGTTATGTTGATATGATTAATTAGTGAAAAAAAAACACTTTCACGGTTTAAAGCGCTATAAATAATAATCGAACTTATATCAATACTAATTTAACTACGGCCCAACGTTTCGAATGCTTTTCAGCTTCCGTGATAACGGAAGACAAAAAATTGTAGTCTCCGTTAAAAGTGTTTTATTAAAATATGTACTACTGTCGCGTAAGTACTAAACTACAGTACACAATTTCAAGCAATTCTTTATAATCGTGAACTATAAAAGTCTTCGTAATTTAGAGCAACTATAGACATTCTGCAGCGGATTTTATCGCATGTGCTGCTTGAAGGTTCTCGTTTGATGCATTTATCTTCACGTGCGTAGGCGAACAAGTGTAACGACTTGAAAGCAAAAACGAGAACGCGTTATTTAGAGGCGCGTAAAGAACACATCTATACTAATATATAAAGCTGAAGACTTTGTTTTAATGCGCTGTTCTCAGTGACTACTGGATCAAATTGAACAATTTATTTTTGTGTTGCTTATGCCATATCGAGATCTAAAAAAATGGACTATTATTAACGAAGGAAAAGAGGGAAACGTAGATGTTCGTTGCGTGTGCTGCGAAAACGGTTCAAAGTATCCAATAATACTAGTGCAAGAATCATTCTTCTTGAAATAATGTAAAAATGGTCGCGACAATCTGTCAGTTACACGCGATATCTTTTAAGGTTAACTGAGCGACTTTAATTGATAAAGACGAGGAGGAAATTTTAACGCCCAAAACAACTAATCATTAAAAAAATTGCAGACGAAGTCGCTGGAACAGCTAGTGTTAAACAAAAACAATGTTGCTCAAACCGACATTGTCGAATTAAGGTGAAGCTATCATAGCGAATTTAATTTAAAGGCACACCGCACTGAAATTCCACCGGGACTCGCTTTGTTCGGTAGAAAAATTCACTTTACAATTTTTCAAACGAACGAGCGCTGGGCGCCGTATTAAAGAATGACCACGACAGATATTATGTTGATCCTATTGTGGCTCGTGATTAGTTTTTCGACGGATGCATAAAATAACAATAATTATTAGGACAGAGTTTAATTTGTTGCGCAAAGATCGTAAATGTTTACTCTACAAATACAACAGCAAGTCGGTAAACGAGAGGACACCGCAAGTCAGTTCTGTACCTTACCTTACCTTACTTTACCGCAAATATAAACAACAATGATGATAAATAGAACAATTGAATCCTGCTGACGATGCCGGTTCAAGTCCTGCCCGAGTCAAAATTTTATTCAAATCATTTCCGATTTATAATTATATAGTGCACAATAAAATGTAAAAAATAATAAAGTTTTCAAACAACGATGATGATGGCACTACCGTAGCAGATTTTGATATTACGCTCTATTCAGCCCCCCTTGACCACGAATGCTGCATTGCATTCGAAACGTCATGTCGTAAGTAAATAAGAAATAAGTAAATCAATAAATGTCGAGTGTTAATCCTTTAAAAGTTTTATATTAAAATACAAATATTTTTTTTTTATAATCGGGGATTATGGAAGATAAAATATCAGAACCATAAGACATGTCAACAAGACGCTCTGATGACGTATTTCTGCTTTGACAATTCGGAAACTAAGATATCTGAGTTTGTCGTGACCCGGATTTTCTACCCACTAATCTAATTTCCTGTTCGAACTAAAACATGGTTAAAAAAAATTATAAATCGATTTTAAAATATATGCTGGACCTGATGAGAAACGAACTCACACCCCGTTCATTACCAGAGAATCAACGACATCTAAATTAAATAAATAAATAATCCGTTTATCACCACAAAGTACAAAACTTACAATTAATATGAATAATAAAAAATCGCTGATTTTCAGTCCCTTATCAGGTAACGAGCAGTACCAATAATTTAAACATTGCTCTATCTAATTAGGCTCAAAGTAACCGTACATTTTGTGAGAATGCAATGTAAGCTAACACTGTAAACATTAAGGAGAAAAAGTTGAAACCATTATCCAACTGCAGACCGAAGTAGCCTACAAAGCTGTCCCAATTTCCGACGAAGCCTCAAGGGAGGCATTTAAACAACAACCGCTTTTAGCACTGCGACGGATGACTGGCCATTGACGAATTCCCTCGGGAGATGCTCGACATTTTTCATCGGGAATATTCTCGAAAA